TTTCATGGAAAACATAACAGATTTTCATGTATTTTCGTGTAACTAATTATATTTATGTTATTTAGCCTTGCAAAGTAATGTATTTGTTACAGAGAGCAGTGCACCGTACAGAGACAAAACCCAAAAACCAGTGTATCAAGCAAGCCCTAAAGTCCAACTCTAACCTTTCCTACCTTCTTTTTACTCTCTAGACAAGGGAGGCATCCACCCTGTACCTCCCTCCCCCCCTCCTTTATTAGCACTTCATGCCAACTTAGAGAAAAGTTACATTATTAACTCTGACTGTGACATGCAGTAGATATTTTTTTTATTTCACGGAAAGTATGAGGCTACAGCATTTGTACCTGGGTTGTCAACGACTGCTTCTTATGCTTTATTAAGCATAAGTATATAGATATACAGAATTGGTCGTGTGCTGGTTGGTGTGGCTATTGTAGCTTTTAGCCCAGGCTTTAAGATTTCCCTCAGTAATTCTTGAAGTTAGTACTGAATCTACATAAAACTAAGTCCCGTGATCATTAACAATATAAAAATTTATTTTTGTTGTAGGCAAGTTTAAGATAGTTAACCTCAGAGATTAACAATACTAGTTTATTAATTTTTGTAATATGTGGCAGATGTGGCGATGTGTAAAAGACACAATACAGTTGAAATAGTTGTCATTTTATAGATACTCTGATTCTGCCTGCCTTGTAAATTACACTCTTACCATACTGTTGTATCCTGGCAGTGTATGAAACTCTATTTGGTTTGTAATTTTTATTCTTTCAGTAATTATTCAGGCTAAAGAAAGAAACTTAGAAACTGTAGCTGTAATTTATCTTTGATTGCCCACCCCCCAATTAAATATATGTACATTTCTGTCTTTGATTATACATATTATTTTCAGAAATTATTTCCCTTTTAACATAGAGTAATAACTCATTTAAATTCTTATTTGAGATTAGTCTACCTACAGTAAATAATACTACTTAATGGTATCCCAAAAGAGATGTTGCTTTTAATTCTTCTTTTGTTGTGATTTAGCTTTATCTTTTGTCTGTATTGAAGCTCATATGAAGCATCACCAGAGACAAATTCATTCATAATCCTCCTATTTTTATGCAAAACACTACAAGGAGGATAGTAATGATGTTGGTGATGCAAATATTTTATTGATAATGATCATGATAATATGTAGTTGTAATGAAAACAGAAGTAATTTTTTTTTGTAGCAACAATAAGCCTTGTGGGAACGATTGCTGGTACCGAGACTAAAAAATTATTCTCCTCATAAAATTATATATGTATATAATGGAGATTAATGATTTCGAAGACTGATAGGGTGTAAACTTCCATACTACTGATGGTAATTCAGGTTTAACTAATCTCAGAAGATATTGGCAATATTGTGAGTAATATTGATAAAGTATTGTCTGGGGATACTTCCTGTGTAACAGAAATGAAGGTAATGATAATGAAATCAATCTAACCACAGCAACAATTTTAAAATAAAAGAAGAAAATGATAGTAAAAAAAATTATGTAAAAGAAATAACAAATAATTGATGCTTGACACTTAAAAATGCATGAATTAAAATGAATATATATATATATATATACATATATATATATATATATATATATATTATATATATATAATATATATATATATATATACATATATATATATTTTTTTTTTTTTTTTTTTTTTTTTTCTTACATCACCACAAAAGTTTATTCCCATTCATACCTTTCTCAATATTTGTCATAAAAATTCTGTTGAATATATAATAGCAATTATTATCATTTCAGATTTCTGGAAGAGATCGACCACAAGCTAGAAGACAACCAGAGACACCCGCTGCGAAGATACATCGTGCCCAGACAAATAAAGGGCAAGCCTGAGCTGCCCTTCTTCCTCAACAATCTCAGAAACGAAGCGGCAAAAAGAGGAACCACTTTGAGGTTTTTGCCGAACCACTTCTCGAAACATAAAGAGAACTCCACACGCTTTATAGCAAAGGAGGGAATCATTAGGTACTTATGTTTGCAGTTTTTGTGTGATTTTTGCGTGTTTTAATTTATTTTGTGCATTTTTTCTTTCCATTTTCCTATTTATTATTATTTTTTTTTTTTCACTCTCTCTTTTCATCTCCCCCCTTTTCTTTTGGTCTCTTTTCAGTTATTTTAAGCCCACAGAATACATGAAGTTATTTATTTATACTGGTCTATGAGCAGATATACAGATGTAATACAAATCTGATATATTTGAATAAATACCACAAAGCCAGCTCTACTGCTCTTGATTAATTCCAAAAGTCATGCTAGACCAACATGAACTAGATTTATCCCATTTTATAATAGGTTTCATGGTGAACGTTCATAAACTCCTAATTTACTGTTAGGCCCCCCATGCAAGACACTTTATCTCTAATCCTCACTTTTTAGCCATTGTTATTGCATAATATAATATATAAGGGTAATAGAATTTCTCTCTGTATCTTGAGCAATTTGACTTTTGTACCCAAAAGGAGTTCATGAAAGTTCCCCCCCACCTTTTTTATTGATGGTAATTTATCAATGATTTTCATTTACATTCTTTTTCTCTCTGGCTTTAATTAGCACGTTAGATGGCCTATAGGACACTCTGGCACGTGAGACACCTTCTCATTGCAGTAGGGTATTTGCAGGGATAAATAATGTTCGCAACTTCATGTATAAGAACTGGGTGATTTTCTTTGCCATATTTTGGAGGGGAACTGTGCATTATATTAGATTTGGTACTTTATTATAGCTATTATTCATTTTCTCCTTGGTGTTTTTTCCTTTTTTGATTCTTCTGTTTATGAAAGTATACTACTCGTAAAAGTGAAAAAAGAAAACAATGATCTATTTTCCTTTTCCTCATTTTAAAATCTCTATTCTTTCTTTCTCTTTCTTATCATCCTTTCACCAGCTTTGTATCCCTTTGTCTACCCTTCTTTTCCTTTTTAGTGACTTTTTTTTTCTTTTTTTTATCATCTTTTTTGTTATTTGATAGCCAGATGGAAAGTTAATGTGAAACAAGTAAATGCAAGGAGACAAACAGATAAATGAACATATAAACAAACAAATGTTATTATCTTTACTGTTTTATCAGGTCATATTTAGATATTGAGAGATATATATATATATATATATTATAATATATATTATATATATATTATATTATCTATATATATATATATATAATATATATTATATATAATATATATAATATATATATATATATATTATATATAATATATAATATATATATATATATATTATATATATATATATATATATATATATATATATATATTCTTATTAACATCATTATTATTTTCATTATGTCAGATGGCACATCAAATGGGTATTCCACCAAGCAGACATCACATTCACCAACACGCAAGTCGATGAGAACACACCCATAATAACCCTTCTGGCCCACTACATGGAGCCGAGCGACGCCCTCACCCCAGAAGAGACCGAGAAGCTGGCTTACTACCACTCGGCCTCCTACAGCAGAATTGCGTCTTGAGGGAGAGAGAGAGGGCACAAAGACAGCCTTTTGGGAGGTGGTGCCGTCAAAGAGCATCCGTAACAACCTGGCTGGCTGTAAGGTGGTCGAATACCCAACATTCTATGTGATCCTACGCGACCACATGCAGGCTTACCTGGACTACGAGGCGGATGGGCACGACGATCTATTTGGAGAAGACGAGGCCAAGGAGGAGGAGGAGGAGGAGAAAAAAGGAGGAGGGACTGTTTTTCTTTGGCCAGCGGCAAATTCGATGAGGCTGCATTGACTGTGATACCTATAATGTGATGTGCATTTAACGTGCCATGAGTTTTTTGTTTTTTTTTTCTTTCTTTTTCTTTCTTCTTTTCCGTTTTCATCACTTATTATACGATGATTTTAGAGAAAAATAAAATTGTACATAAATACCAAAGTATTGTTTGTTTTTTCTTGATCTTTCCTGCACTTTTTCCATAAAATAACAAGTGCTACAAGTAGTATACATAATATATCCTATATACTGTATGTAAATAGAATATTAAATGAAATTGGTAGGAATGAATACCCTATTGACAAATGATGCACAAATATAATGTCAAGTCTGTTATAATTCAGTCAATAAACAATTTTGTCCTTTATGTTCATGTTCTATGATTTGATTGACATGCAATACTTCAACAATGATATTTAAACATCATGTAATTTGCATGAACTATATATACTGTGGAAAAAAAAATGCAAACATTTTGATCATATGTAAAATCAAGAGTATTTTACACAAAATCTGTTAAATTTTCTTTTCATCTTTCAATTTTACAGTTTTTTAATACACACATTTTTCATGAGCTATTGTTTGAAAAATTATAAACAAGCTTTAATAGTAAGTGAGAGTATTTGACACAGAAAACTGATATGTTGCATTACATGTATACTTTGTTAACTATTATAAGGTAAAATTATTGGTGAATCGGTAAAATGGTGATGGGGGAATATATTTTGTCTTTCGGTAAACTATATTATATAACTGAAAAGCACAAAAAAGAGTGAATTGCATATTCCATTGTATAGTAGTAATTCCGGAATCAAAATACTGAAAATGGCTCCAACAAGTTTTATGTCAAAGTTATATTTTGTTGTATATCAAGGTTATATCTTGCTACTTTTGTATGCAGTATAAATATTATTATATTTGCGCTATCAGTATTGTAATCAACATGATCCTTTACTTTTATGATCTGTTTTCTATAAGGATAAGCCAAACCTGAGATATAAGTCTAATAAACTTAAATTTTGGTTTATGAATAATCGTGAATAAGTTTTCTAGAAGTAATAAATTTAAATAAAAAAAATATGCCAAGATATTTTTTAAAGGAGACAGAATTATTGTGTTAAGCCTAGAGACAAGTATTTACAGCCTAAATATTATTTAGATATTTCTAAGGGAATAATTATGAACTGGTTCCCTTTTGGTAACAAAACTACGATATCAAGTTAACATTATTTCAAGCTTTTCTCTAATATGTAAATAATCATGTGATCCAAAATTTAACTTTGGGTCAAGCTGCTCTTTAATTTATTAATATATTATTGTTATGCAATACTTCAAGGCAACTTTTTTTCTTATTAGAAATGTTTTAATGTAAACAAAAAAATAGACACTACCTATGCATAAAAATATTAAAACAATATAACTGTCATAAGCCTATTCTCTTTGAAAAAAAAAATGATATATATTCAACTATCTGTTAATATACTATATATGAATAAAGAAAAGCTATCAAAATAAATGTATTCTCACCTTATGTATTACGAAAGAAGAGATACTATACTGTCATTAGTGTGTGACTGGATATTTTGCAAAGTTTTTGTCAAAGCAAAAGGCAAATTTAGTTCATTCTTTTCCAAAGTTTTATATGATTAATGTTAGGTTTTTGTATTTTATTTTTACTGTTTTTGATTCCCATACAAAAGTATTGTTAGACTGCCATTAAGACTTTGGTTGGTTTATCTTTGTTAATTTCCATGACAAAAACTTAATGGTTGTAGTTGAAAACATCAGTAATAAAAGAAAATAATCAGGGGAAGATTTTTTTTTAAATGTCATTCAAAAACATAAATTGGTAATCTTATGAGAATGCTGCTCTAGACTAATTTTTTCTAGTTTTAGCAAAGGAATAAATTTAGATCTCGGATTCAAAGAATGGCAATGCTCTAAAACATCAGACTTTTCAAAAACTGTTCATTCATGTATACTGAAAACAAAAAAATAAGTAAAAAAAAATGACAATATTGTACAATGCTATGTAAACTTGTCTGTACTGAATTGATGACATAGAACTATATTGATAGTCTCCGAAGGTTATCTACATTAATGAGAAGGATTTTCTTTCTTTGTGAGATAAGAGAGACTGTATATCGTGTTTTGTCGCAAGCAAAATAATTATGCTAGAAAGTCTAGTTGAACGATCTTGAAAATTTTGATTTCAAAGTGGTTTTCAAATTCTTTCACTTCTTAGCTGCAATAGAAGACATTAGTAAAAAATTCCCTGAGATACTAACACATACAAACACACAACACACACACACACAACACACTCACTACACACACACACACACACACACACACACACACACACACACAACAATATATATGCATGTATAGCAGGTAGCCAACCAGCATCCACAAGCCTATTTTGAGTCAATCACACTACTGTACTTGTTAATAATTCGTCCTTCAGAAGCTGTTATGAAATAGCTGCAATAGCATATCCAAGTACTCATGATACTTGGATTATTATATTTCTCTTTTCTGGGAATAAGCTATATTTATATTTATAGTGATGGACATGTCTGAACAACATACAATTTGTTATATTATAAATAATTCCTACAGTTACAGTTACATTTATGGAATATGTTTGAATCAGGCTGGTAGATCACACCAGGGTAACTAAAGAAAAGGTAGGTCATATCACACAGAAGGTTGGCCACCCCTGATGTATAGGTCCCTCGTGAAATAAATGTCCTATGTTACCTGTACAATTAGGTGTTCACAGACCTGCCAGCTGTATATTGCATCAGAGTGTGATAATGTTCACATAATCGCAAAGTCTAAAAGTGATACAAAGTATAATTTGTAAAAAGAAAAGTACTGAACGGTTCTTCACACGCTCATAGATTTGCTGTGAGGTATAAGCCGCACCCATTGTGTGACTGTTTATTTACAAAGGAAGGGGCATAGACCGAGCCCGTGTGTGTTTGGGGAATGACCCGCCACTGCCCTGCTGATCTACATGGAAACTGAGACCAGGTGTGTTCAAGGTCACACGATCTCGCACAGGACGTCACTTTGAGTACAATCCTGGGAGTTCGAGGCTACTGGTGTGGTCATTCTTGGATGTAATGTAGAACCGTAAGAATCTCTCTCTCTTCTCTCTCTCTCTCCTCTCTCTCTCTCTCTCTCTCTCTCTCTCTCTCTCTCTCTCTCTCTCTCTCTCTCTCTCTCTCTCTCTCCCGTTTTCGCTCGCTTGACTGTCTGGCCTATAAAGACCATGGGTGTGTTGTCCTCTGTGAGAAGATACGGGTTGGCGGGATGAGGCGACTACCTGCCTCTNACCCCCCCTCCCCCTCATTTTCAATAGCTTCAAATACCTAAATACTCTAATTACTTATTCTATGTATCTTAGTTATTATTATCATGTTTACAAATAATGGTGATTTGATAATGATAATGATTTTAATGGTAATGGTAATGATAATGATGCTAATGCTACTATTATGATAACGAAAATGATAATGATGATAATGATACTATTAATGACAATGAAAATGATAATGACTATGATAATGAAAGTGATGATAATAGTAATAGTAATGATAATATTACCGCATCGAATGTCCTCCATTTGTACTCTCGCTTAACCCCCCCCCCCATCTCAACCCCACCCAATGTACAAAATTTCTCGTCCCCCTATTCTTCCTCCCACAACCCCGCTTTTTCGTCCCCATCCTCTGCTCCTCCAACTCCCCTCCCCCTCCGAAGGCCCCCTATCATGCGTCCCCTCCTCTCCTACCCCCACCTCACTCCTACCCACTCCCAGCCCCCTTCTCCCCACTCCTACTCACCCCTGGGGCACTCCCAACCCCCTTCTCCCCCTTCCTCCTCACCCCAACTCCCCCCCCTCTTCTCACCCCAACTCCCCCCTTCTCCTCCCCCCCACTCCCCCTCTCATCACCCCCACTCCCTTCTCCTCCCCCCAATCCCCCCCCCTTCTCCTCACCCCAACTCCCGCCCATCTCTTCTCCCCCATCTCATCACCCCCACTCCCTTCATCTCCTCACCCCCCCCCCCTTTCTCCACCCCAACTCCCCCTCTCCCCTCTCCCCTCCTCCCCTCGAGGCCTCCGCCGAATCGTGGCACGCCGATCGCCCTCCGAACACCATATTTCTAATCCTGAGCCCGGCGGGAGTCCTGCCACTTTGGGGATTGAGGCTCAGGATGCAACCCCGCCCCCCCCTCCTCCTCCTCTTTTACCTCTCCCCCCCCCTCCCTCCTCCACTGCACCCCTGTCTCCCTCTCTCTCTCTCTCTCTACCCTCTGTCTCCCCCGTGGTATGCTCCTCTCCTCTCTCTCTCCCCCTCTCTACCCTCCCCTCCCCCCTCTCCTCCTCTCCTCCCTCCCCCCTCCTCTTCTATCTCTCCGAAACCCTCCGCTTTTAGATTAATTTCTGTTGGGGTCTCCTTTTGATCATGAAGGAAGGAGAGTAGAGGAGGGAGGAGGAGGGAGGAGGAGGATGAGGAGGAGAGAGGAGGGAGGTGGAGGGGGAAGGAGGGAAGAGGGAGAGTGGTGGTGAAGGTGGAGGTGGAGGGGGGAGAGGAGAGGCAGGAGGAGGGGGAGGAGAAGCAGGAGTGAGAGAAGGAGTAGGAGGGTTGGGAGAGGAGGAGTAGGGGGGGGAGGTGGAGGTGGAAGTAGAAAGGAGGAGGAAGAGGGGAGAGGGAGGAAGAGGAGGAGAGGAGAGGAGGAGAGAGAGAGAGGAGGGAGGGGAGGAGGAGAAGGAGGAGGGGCAAAAAGGGAGGGTGATGGGTAGTATTATAGTAAGGGGAGGGAGGATAGGAGGGAAGGAGGAGGTCGTAAGCGAAGGAAGATGAAAGAAGGGGGTGGAGAATAAGGAGGGGGAAGAAGGTAGGGAGGGAGAATGA